TGTTAGCTCTTAGTCTCATTGATTTGGCTACCTTAGGGCGGAGTTCCCCGCGCCCACGCGGTAGACAATTATATATAGCGAACATGACAAAACATACATATAGCATAATCACTACCTTACCCTTCTCGAACCACATAAACAAACGAACTACGGACTGCGCACCCGTGCCCTCAGGGTAAGTCAATGGTTTGATAGGATTATAAGTTTGTAGTTAGGTTAGCCCATTTACGAGGAGATAGGTGGGATGTGGAGTCTTGGCTTGTTGGTGGCTGTTCGAGAGTGGCTTTTTCAAGTAGTAAGGGGTCATTTTGTGGTCTTTATGGTTTATGTGGTTTTGTTGGCCTGAGGCAGTTGGTTTATTTTCCCTTTCTTGGGAGCAAGGCTTCAGGACAGCGGCTCTGTCTTAGCTAATTCTCTTCCTTTTTTTTTTTTTTTTTTTTTTTTTGACCTGTTGTAATAAATGTTTGCTTTATTAAAACAGGTCAAATTGAGGTAAAAAAAAAAAAAAAGTGGCCGGGGACCTCACAATTCAACCCGAGTTATCCTGGCAGCTTCAGCTAGTTTAGCTTAGGCGATGTACTTGCCAAGCCCAAAAAGGAGAGCAAGAAATATCCAGGCAAACGAAAGAAAAAAAGAAAAAAAGAAAAAAAGAAAAAAAAAGAAGTTGCGGCTGTATACGAGCCACAACATACCTGAGTGCCCAAATTCATTCAAGTGAAAACAGTTCTGCTTTATTCTGTTCCCACAGCCCCCTCCACATTCGTGAGGGCTTGTTCACATGTGCATGCGGCAAGGCCCGGGCTTAGGTCCCACTTGCACGAATTAAGCCATATTGACCGTAGATAGCAAAGATCAACGGCCAAATCTCCGTGCAAGTGGGACCTTGCCCCCAGAGTTTTGTAGGTGTGTTGAACGAGATCCTACCCCCCCTGCAAATTGGGACATTAGATGCGCGAAGAAATTCAGGATTTAGGAATTCGGACGCATCTGAAGCAGTCACAGCCCCCAACAGGCGGGAGGGCCCCATTGGCAGGTGGATTTTAGATAGATTATGTCCGATACGTCCTTGTTCCCCTTTTTCTGACGAAGCGAGCGCCACGCTTTTACCACCCTCCTTTTGCCGTGGCCCAAACCCCTTCGACGCTTCAGCCTTCTCGATACTCGGCGCCACGTCGTGTCACATCATGCCACGTCACGCCACGCAAGACCGCCACATTATTCGACCACCAAATACGTCTCCAAGCTGTCGTCCTAATCCGTTTTAACAACAGCTTCCCGCGCGCCAGTGTGCGCCTTTCTCTCTCTCTTTCTCTCTCTCTCTCTCTCTCTCTCTCTCTCTCTCTCTCTTTGTGTGACACACACACGGACGCACATAGTATTCTTCAGAAAAAGGCGATATAATAGTGCGTCACTCTAAGTCGGGCATGCAGCCACAGTAGTCCCTCTCTCTCTCTCTCTCTCTCTCTCTCTCTCTCTCACATACACACACACACGCGCGCGCGCGCGCGTGCACACACACACGCACACACACGCGCGCGCGACCAGCGAAGGAAGAGCAATGAAGAGCAAGGCCGAAACGGAGCAGATCCCATCATCGCAGAGCAAAGTAATGGAGATCGGAGAAGATGTGTTATTTTACCTTAGAAAGACGAGCGCGCCAGCTAGCGTGGCGCTCCCAGCGAAAAACTAGCGCGCCAACCAGGACCCTCGAAACTAACGAAAGCGTATGCTCAAGTAAGCTAAAAGCTGGCTTAGCACGTGCTTAGCACGTTCTTAGCACTGGCTTAGCACTGGCTTAGCACTAGCTTAGCACGTCTCTAGCCGGGCGCCAAAGAGAGATGCAAACGCGCTAGGGTCGACAGGTCTACCGGGTAGGAGCAGCCAGCCCGCGGGTCAAGACGGCCAGCCGGCACGCACAGCCAGCTGCAGCAACCACAACCGGAACACTAAGGACATACTTGCACAAGCACTTTTGGACAGAATCTGGTCTCGATCGTGTCCAGATACCTCCAAGAACAAAATCCTACGGTGCTGGAGCGCTAAGTCGTACAGCTGGACTGCTAATCCACACAGCTGGACTGCTATGCCACACAGCTGGACCGATAAGCCGCCCTGCTGGAGCACTGAGAGCCAAGCCACACATTTGGACCGCTACCAGCCTGCTGCCAGGGGCTGGCAGGCAACTTTGTCAGAAGCAGAAATAATTTGACGATCAGGTCAGATGAGCGGAGGTACAGAGAACCACAAGACAGAAAAGAGTGAAAGATGGTTTGCGCAATTCACGCGCCTTTGCCTACCTACCTTGCCTCTGGTCTGCTTTGCGCCGGTGCAAGCCCAACCCCATCGGGGGGTGGGGGGAGGGAGAAGTCGAAGGGTACTAAGTACAAGCTGACGTGGCTTTCCGAGACAGCAGATGGAATCAGAGCACAGCAGAGCTGAAGATAACTCCTGAAGAGTCGAGGAATAATAAAACAAATTTAAAGGAGCAGAGCAGAGCAGAGCAGAGCAGAGAAGAGAAGAGCAGAGAAAAGGAGAAAAAAGGAGGGCAGGTGGGTTGCATCGGCGCAAAGCAGAGCAGAGGCAATTGAGCAAACTAGCTTGTTAGTAGTGAGGGCATGCTCACACAAGCACTTGGCAAAATGCATCTGGCTGCAATTACGGACAGACGTGGATGAATCTGACGGCAATCACGTCCACAGCTTTGCCGAAAAACTCCTACGCGGTAGTGTGAGTATGCACTGAGAAGGAGAGCGCAGTAGACTGGGAACAAGAAGAAACGGCAAAACGAAAGGGGTAGTCACACAGGGGAAGAAAGGAAAATAGGCAAGAGCACATCAAGGCCTGTCACCACAGAGAAAAGCCGAGCAGATCGGAAAGAAGAGGTCTCGTTGAGGGGAAGCTGACGACCTTAGCGACAATCTGGGGGAAGCTCTCTCTCTCTCTCTCTCTCTCTCTCTCTCTCTCTCTCTCTCTCTCTCTCTCTCTATCTATCTATCTCAAGCGCGTCGAACTAGATCGAGTATGAAAACTTGAACGCTGCGGCGAGAGAGGGAGAGAGGAAGAGAGGGAGGAAGATAACTTGAACGCGCGCGGAGAGAGAGAGAGAGAGAGAGAGAGAGAGAGAGAGAGAGAGAGAGAGAGAGAGAGAGAGAGAGAGAGAGAGAGAGA